TCAAGGCGCTGCCGGGGGCTCGGCGCGGAGGGGCTACCCACGGCGTCCCCGAATCCGCCGCAAGCCCGGAGGAGGTGGAGAGAACGCAGGGCTCAGCCCGGCCCACCTCCCGAGCCGCCTGCCGCCCGCCGCCCGCCGCTCGCCGCTCCCGCTCACCCGCGTCCCGGTTTCGGCTCCGCTCCGCCTCCTGCTCCCAGCGGCAGACGGCGGCCCTACTTCCGGGTCCGGCCGCGGACGGCATACCCCCCGTCTCCCTTCCGGCGCCGCACGCCCGCGTCTGCAGGTTCCCAGGCTCGCGCGTTCCGGCGCACATCCTCCAGTGGGCCCTAGCCGGCGGGGGTCCGCACGGCCCCCAAACCCAACCCTGGCCCCTCCTCTCTTGGAGTCTCAGGGTGTCCTCTAGCCAGCCCTTCACCCCATTCTTCCCCTCCGCGGGAAGGCAATAATGACAATTATTTACAAAGATGAAAACTGGATGATAAGCATGAAAACATATATGCTGTTAATAATTAAAAAATTAATATTAAAATATTAATTATTTCGTAGATTTGTAGATATTAACTACTAAATAAAAGATAGATAAACAGCAAGTTCCTACTGTATAGCACAGGGAACTATATTCAATACCTTGTAATGGCCTATAATGAAAAAGAATATAAAAAGGAATATACATACGTATAAATGAATCACTATGCTGTAATTCACCAGAAATTAACACAACGTTGTAAATCGACTATACTTCAATTAAAAAATTATTCTTAAAGAATCTATATGCTGTTAATAATTAAAATAACTAAAAACTGCAGGTATATGTATAACAGCCTTCTTTCAATGCTACAAATATTTGTGGAGTGAATGAATAAACTATGCAAAACATATCTGGAAGATGAATTGGAGAATAAAAGTAATTTTTTGTGTTAGAGCAACAGGATTATGGAAGGTTTAAGATAATTTTCATGACTTTATTTTATTGTGTTTTAACTAATAGCATGCATGCAATTCCTCTTCTCCCTTAGACATTTCCCAGAACTTGCCTTTATTGGAAGACTATCCCTGAGAGATGCTTTGGAAAAGAAAGTTCTGTGGTGAAACTAAGATTGGGAAAGGCCAAAAATTAAGAGTCACAGGAAGACTGCACTTTCAAAACAGAACTCCTGGCAAACCCACTCCTTGGCAGGGTCTCCACCTCCAAAATGGCAACTCCATCGTCCTGGTTGTTGAAGCCCAGTGCCTGCAGGCTCCCTGGATTCCTCTCTTCCTCTCACCCGATATCCATCACTGTCTTTAGAATACATCGGAGATCCAGTCAGTCCTCCCTGCCTTGGCTGCCCCCATCCTGCTCCGTCTCCCTCCTGGCTCCCACCCTGCCACCCTACAGTCTGTCTCCACACAGCCCCCACTTAAGGTGGCCAGGGCTAAGGTTGGGTCCTGTGGTGCCACCAGTTAGCAGAGAGGCAAAACCAGAGCCCCTTTGCCATTGACCCAGCTCCAGGGTTCATTCCGCAGGAGGAAGGACCTGAGGCCTGGACTCGCAGATGGCATTGAGCAGTCAGCTCTGGAAGCCTGGGGGTCTCCGTCACAGCTGAGAAACTGCAGCTGAGACAGAAGGGGAGAGGGCAGGGCACAACCATTAAAAGAATGACACAGCCATTGAGGATATGACAAAAACTGGTTAGAACCTACTACACCCCAGATGGCGGAAGACTCGACTTCCAGTGGATCTTGTACCTTACACACTCACTGTATTACATTAGCTACTAAATGGCATGGCCATGGGCACCATGGCAGTTCCCAGGCTGACCATAAAAGGCCAAAAATGGGGTGCGGCCCAATTCTTAGTAATCCCTGCTTCTCCCTAAAACGGTTGGAATAATCCTCTCACTTGTTAGCATATGAAAGTACCCAGCCCATAAAAACTAACCACCCCACACTCCTGGGCCACTCTCCTGAGACTGTCTATGGAGTGTGTATCTCTCTGTATAAACTTGCTTTCACTCTACTATGGCTTGCTCTTGAATTCTTTCCTGCACTAAGCCAAGGATCCTCGCCTGAGACCTAGGATACGACCATCCTCTCGCACTCTATTTTTCCACAACACAGCTGCCCTGTGTGCTCTGCCTGGGCAGCCCTGCAGCTGCATCCTCCCCACAGACCTCCCAGGGAGCTGCGGTCTGGCCATCCTGGGGGCCCTTACGTGGACAAGTGACCCAGGTTCAGAGGAACCCTTAGCTTCTCCTCACTTACGCACAGGTTCCGGGTTGTGGTGGATGGGATGGCTGAGAGCTCCTGGGTCCCTCTTCTCTCCAGTTGGGCAAAGACTCGGCCACGGTCTTCATGATACTGTTGGTACTTAATACCACCCAGTGCTTACTCCATTCTAGGCACGTCTCTATTCTCAGTGCATCTAATTCTTGGAGTTAGATGTTATTAGTGTTATCCTTATTGTACGCATGAGGAAAGAGGTCATACAGGTGTAAAAGGCAGAGCCAGGTTTCAAAACTAGACAGCCTGGTTCCAGAAGCTAAGTTCTCACCTGCCAGCCTCAGGGCTTCTTCCTGCTTGCTCCTCCTGCCATCTTTTCCGGCTCCAAGTCCAGTCTGTGCTGACCCAGCTGGCCTCGGTGCCTGGGTCCCTGGGATACACGGTCACCAGATTCTGCACAAGAAGCAGCAGCAACTTCCGGGGTATGCCCCAAACTGGTAGCAGCGTCTGCCAGGTCCCCAGTGTCCTCACCTACGAGAAGAACAGTCGGCCCTTAGGGGTCCCGGCTGGGTTCTCTGGTTCCACGTTGGGCAACCCAGCCTCCCTGACCACTGCAGGGCTGCGGGCTGAGGACAAGACTAGTCGTTACTGTGACACCACAGTGAGGCCCACGCCTCCCGGCTCCTCCAGCACACCAGGGACCTTATCTGCTGGGTAAATCTTATTCCTTCTTGTCACCAGTATGGCTTGTAAGTCAGTTCTGGCATGTCTGTGCTTCTTGGACTCACATCTTATTTCTATCGGCTCCAGGTACATCTGCCTTTGTGGCTAACCATGGTGTGTTGATGACAGTTCATCTGTGGCCTTTGCACTTGAAAGTTGTCTGGCTGGACCTAAAATCCTCAGCTTGGAGGGGGGCAGGTTATAGCTTAGTGGCTGAGTGTATGCTTAGCATGCACAAGGTCCTGGGTTCAATCCCCAGTACCTCCATTAAAAATATGAATTAAATAAATAAGCAAACCTAATTACCTTCCCCCTGAAAAAAGGCAAATAAAGTCACCCTGTGCCCAGACTCACACACTCAAATGCCCACACAGGTTAAGGGGAGGCTGTAAATGAATAAATATGGCTTAATGCAAAAAAGAAAAAATTAACCACCAGAAATTTACTGAAATTTGTTTATTCATCTACAGTGTGAACGTACAACAGACACAAATATCTATGGTGATGATTGTTTAAAAATGAAAGTGGAAAAATAGATCTTAAAAAGGAAACGTTTACCTATTTTTACTTTGATAATTCATTACTCAGTGATTTGAAATAAACTATCTCATTTGATTAAAATTACAGTGGAAAATTACTGCTCACAAGTGTAGATCCATCCAAATGTTGATAAATTGATTGTAAAATTCTTCTTCTTCTGTTTCCTCTCATCCAGATCTTTGCATGGCAGTTGGCACTTAAAAAAAAAAAAAGTGAACCAGAGCATGCGCCTCCCCTCCATGATTTTACCCTAAGAGAACATTCCTCTGGTCCCTTCCCTGCCCGCCACGTGGCACGGGAGGAGCCCTGTCCTTTTCACCCTGCCTCCTCTACCCTGAGACTCTTGGGGATAGGCTGTGGGTCACTTCTGCTCTTAGTTACCACAGACTGGGTGGCTTAAACAGGAAGAATGTATGGTCTCATGGTTCTGGAGGCTGGAAATCTGAGATCAAGATGTGAGCAGGGCTGGTTCCTTCTAGGGGCCATGAGGGAGGGATCCAGTCAAAGGATCTCTCCTTGGCTTGTAGATGGCTGTCTTCTCTCTGTGTCACTTCAGATGGTCTTCCCTCCACGTGTGTCTGTCTCTGTGTCTGCATTTCCCCTTCTTGTAAGTACTGCAGTCATATTGGGTTGGAGTCCACCCTAATGACCTCACTTTAACTTAATTGCTTCTATGAAGATCCTCCCTCAAAATAAGGTCGCATTCTCGGTACTGGGGGGTTAGGACTTCAGCATGTGAACTTGGGGAGGGGACACAGTTCAACCCATAGCACCCTCCAATGAGTGTGTCCCATTTCCTGCAAATGCTAACTGATCCAATGGCTGCGAAAAGATTCAGTCTTCCCTCTTCCTTGAGCCCAGTTAATATTTCCTTTCTATCCTTATCCTGGAGAACCCCAGAAATCAACTCCTTTTCCCTCAGTGTTTGGGATCCTGGGCGAAGGGGAACATCCATCAGCGGTCTGCCAAGATGGCGGCCGGAAGAGGACATGTGGTTTACAGGATGACTGGGGACGTCGTAGGCCCCAACCTCTCCAGCAGGCCCGCCAGCCCATCTCTCCACGGGACCTGGCCCTCACATTTGCCATGGCCTCTGAGGTGCTGGCAGAGCAGGAGCGGGGTGGATATTTATTGAACAGAAGGGGGCACGATGATTTCCCTTGAGATTTTTTGGCTCACTCAACTTCATGCAGAGAAAATTTTCTTTCACTCAATGTCTTGGTTCCTGTGTGTGGGCTTCCTCTAGTTCCAAGACTCTGTAATTGCCTCCTAAGTGTCTTTGGAGAAATATAGGCCTGAGGTTTCAGGAAAGAATGAGTGTTGGGTCTGTGTTAGCCTGTTGGGGCTTCCACAACAAAGGACTACAGACTGGGAACCCTAAAGCACAAAAATTCATTTCTCACAGTCTGGAGGATAGAGATCCAAAATCAAGGTGCCATTGGGGTTGGTTTCTGGTGAGACCACTCTTCCTGGCTTATAGACAGCCGCCTTCTTGCTGTGTCCTCTCATACAGAGATATGGAAGGATGGATGGATGGACGGATGGATGGATGGACAGATGGATAGATGACAGACAGATGAACTAGGTAGGTAGATAGATGGATGAATGGTCACTCCAGCTTCATTCTGGGAGGGAAAGGGGCTGGGTTTGGAGGATGGGAGTGTCAGGCACATGGGAGGGGCAGAACATCCCACTCATCCCAGGGTCCCCTTACATTTTCCGCAGCACCGAACAGGTGTTTTCCACCCCGAAGACCTGTCTGCTCTTCTCGGTTCACCAGGCATGTAAATGTGGGCGTGAACCTGATTGTGTGGGCTCGGCTTCCTCCAGGGAACGTTGAGGTCAGTCTCCCCTGGGGACTCGAGCCTGCAGGCTGGCCTCCTGGGCACTGGCCCGCGAGCTCCCAGCAGGTGCTTCCTCCCTAAACGGGGCCAAATCAGACCCACAAAGGCCACCATGAGGCCGTTCCCCTAACTGACAATGCAAACCCAAGAAAGTCTGGGATGGTGGTGCCCAGGAGCTGAGTACGAAATTGCCCCACCCCTGGGAGGCAGAGGAGGGTGCTGGCCCAGCCCTGTGAGGGCCCTGGAGCCGTGGTGCCCACAGGTGGCAGAGCTCTGCACGGCTGCATCATGTTCTGGGCTCCTGTCCTGCTGGCGCTCCTGGCCCACTGCGCAGGTGAGAACCGCCGGACCTCCCGGCTCCCCGCCCCGGCCCCTTCCCTTGCCCTGCTTTGCCTCAGCTGCCCACGTACTTTTGTGTCCCCAGGTTGTGGCCCTCAGCCGGTGCTGAATCAGCCACCGTCTGTGTCCTCGTCCCTTGGAACCACCGTCCGCCTGGCCTGCACCCTGAGCGGTGACCTTGATGTCGGCATGTACAACATCTACTGGTACCAGCAGAGGCCTGGCCACCCGCCACGGTTCCTGCTGAGATACTTCTCCCACTCAGACAAGAGCCAGGGCCCCAAGGTCCCTCCTCGCTTCTCTGGATCCAAAGACATGGTCAAGAACACGGGCTATTTGAGCATCTCTGAGCTTCAGCCGGAGGATGAGGCTGTGTATTACTGTGCTGTGGGGGCCCAGAGCCTGGAGCGGGAGATGGAGAGGAAGGAAGAAAGGGAGCCTGCTGCTCCGGGGCCCCTGGCACCCCAGGACACACTTACCTTGAACTAAAGAAAGAGGGGCGTGCGTCCTGGCAGGGAGGTGGGTGTAGGCGGAGGTGGGGGAGGGTCATTGGCTGTGTGGATGTTGAGATGCTTCTGTGAACCCCCTTAGAGGCCGGATGAGGGCATTAAAGCTGCTTATGTCTTGGGAAGTTGTTTGGCTGAGTGGCCTGATGGGTGCTCTGCCCAGATGTTCTGTGAACGGTCAGTGTGATGCACTCAAGTGCCAACTAGGTGAAGGTCGCAGAAGACTGGCCATCATGGCCTGCTTGGCTGGAACCTCTGGTCTTGTGGGCCCTGGGGGTGCAGGGGTCTGACATAAGCACCTTAGAGGACACCCCAGCTGAGGACAGCACCCCCTGGTGTCACCTGATTGTGCACAAGAGTTACAGGGTAATTAGGGTTATTTATTGATTTATTTTTAGAGGAGGTACTGGGGATTGAACCCAGGACCTTGTGCATGCTAAGCATGTGCTCTACTACTTCAGCTATACCCTCCTCCACAGGGTAAGCAGTTTATAAAACACCTTTATTGGGCCTCTGGGGAGGAGAGGGGTGCAGTGGTGAAATAGGTGGGACTAGTCCTCCGCTGGGTGCTGGAGACTTTTCAGACCTTTGTTGTGGGGGGCTGTCCTGTGCACTATAGGAGTTGGAGCAGCAACTCTGGCCCCTACCCACCAGATGCCCTCCTGCCCCTAGTTAGAACAACGAAAAATGTCTCCTGGCATTGCCAGAGGTCCCCAAGGTGGCAGAATCACCCCAGCTGAGAACACTGGTCCAGGTGAGAGAAATGAAGTTAGTTTTTTGTGCAGGAAGGTGGCGGCAGCTGTAAACTGTTTTCTATAAAGGGCCAGATAGTGAATATTTTTGGCTTTCTGGGCCATATGTTCTTCATGGCAACTTAGCTCAAAAACAACGGCAGACAATACCTAAACATGTGGGCAAGGCTGTTTCCTGTTGAACATTATTTACAGACACAGGGCTGGGTTGGATGTGGCCCTAGGGCCATACTTTGCTGACCCCTGCTCCAGAGAAATACCCAGTTCCTGCCTCCATGTTTCAACCCAACCACACTTGGTTGGGTAATCAGGGTCGCCCTCACTTCCTCCTGCCTGACGACTCCAGGGGTGCTCATGCTCTGGACCCATGGGAAGACGCGGGGGCAGGAGGGACATGAGAGGCGTGGCCCCGCCGATAGGCTCGTTAGGTAGAGGGAATGGGTGGGTTCCTGCAACGCTGGCCCATGGCACTGCACCCTGAGCCCCTGGGTGGTGGGTCAACATGTCCCGTACAGCAAGAGACCCCGTACATCAGTGTCCACACCATCTGTGGACGTATCTCCCATTCAGAGAGGAGCCAGGAAAACCATCTCCCCTGTGATTCCAGATGTGACTGAGACCATCCATTCATCCTGGCAGAAAAATCCCTGAGGGGGTCCCCTCAGAGAGGCAGGGCCTGAGTCTCCTATAAAACAATGTTTCCAAATCCCAGCTAGGTGGTCCCCGAAGAACTGTCTCCGGCCTGTAATGGCCCTTCTCTTGCTTTCATCTTTTGTGATCCTGGGATTCCAAGCCACGACAAGAAACCCAGAGAACTGGGAGTCAGGTTGGTTCCTCTGTCTTCCAATGAGGGCCTTCCAACCAGGAAGTCACCAAAAAGTCCCTCAAATCTGAACCCTCCTCTCCTC